AGTGAAATATATTTATGTTTGTGGTTGTAATGTGACAAAATATGGAAAAGTTCAAGGGGTATGAATACTTTTGCAAACCACTGTATGTGTTGTCATGATGTTTTGGGCATTTAACTAAAACTATTTTAATCAGGACATTACAATAGTCAAACAATAGATTATAAAAGTCAAGGCTTAAAAAGGAAACTAAGACAAATGGTGTGGTGCTCTAAATCAGTATTAACTAATAAATTCCTTCAGTRTCATCAAAAGATGATCTTGATWGTTTTYTGAAATKAATAATTTGTCACTCAGCAGGTTGGACTTTAATTTGCAGCATTTTTATCATGAAAAAGCAACGGGTTTGCATTCTTCTGACAGTTTTTGCATGTTCGACAGGTGTTCGAGGTCAGGAACACAGAGGATTTAACAGAAGAGTGGCTCCGAGAGAAACTGGGATTCTTCCGCTGAAGTGCTGGTCTCTGGAGGTACGAGGTGTGAGGAGGATCCAGAAACGCCACGCTCCATCTCGTGCTCTCTCTCTCTCTCTSTGTGTGTGTCTGCACAGACCTGATCAAACAGTGTTTACAGGCCATCTCAGTGGAGTCTCACAGCTCAGTGTGGCACCAAGTCCAGACTGAACTTTCAGCTCCGATTGTGTTGTAAAAATCTGCAAACACTGTTTAATGCAGGTCTGTTTTTATGTTCCAGTGATGTTTGTATGGTTTCATTTTCCTGTTGTGGTGGTAGAAAACAGAAATCAGTTGTATAGATTCACCTTTCAGTTTGTGTTGATCCAGGAGGAGTTAGTGTCTGCAACAAATTTCTGTTTCCTTGTGAAATGTTTACACAACTTTRACCAACTCAGAACCTCCTCATTTTAACCACTTTTACTTTTTAATTTGTTTTTTTTTTATATATATATAAGTTTAGAAACACTTGTTTTATTTCTGTTTTCTTGTCTGTAAGACTGGTTATTTTGTAAATCAGTGCGTTTCATTCTGCTTTCTGCTGCAACATAGAACAATTATAGCAACAACACTACTGATGTCTCCTTTAGTCCTCCAGAATTTACAGGATTTACTGAAGGACATTTAAATGAATATACTGTAACTGAACTCTAAAAAGATGGTTTACTCATACATGGTCATTAATAAATCACAGTAAGTATCTTAACTACAAAGTGTCAGTGGAAAAAAAAG